GCAATAATAATAATATCTACCACACGACATGATGAGGATAAAATGACACAGTGTAAAGTGTGTGGCTCAGTGCTCACTGCCTGGCACTTTTATTGTTGTTATTACTATAATATAGTTATATATGTGGAGAGAGGGAGAGAGAGAGAGAGAGAGAGAGAGACCAATGCCATCAATAATCACCAGTATCACCAAAGCAAGTACTATGCATTCAAATACAAAAAAAAAAAAGCCATGGTCAGTGTGCTCAATAGTTAGAGCATCAGCCTGTGGATTGAGGGGTCACAGGATTGATTCCCAGTCAAGGGCATGTACTTGGGTTGCAGGCTCATTCCCCAGCCCGGTCAGGGTGGGTGCAGGAGGCAATCAATGGCTGTGTCTCTCACATCGATGTCTCTTCTCTCTCTCTCTCTCTCTCTCTCTCTCTCTCTCTCTTTCTCTCTCTCTCTCCCTCCCTCCGTACCTCCCTCCCTCCCTTTGCATCTTTTTCCCTTTCACTGTCTCTAAAAAATAATCAATGGAAAAACATCCTCGGGTGAGGATTAACAAAAAAAATACCCAAATACTAAAAAACAAATAGGCAAAATTCTGTTTGGTTAGAATGTCTCTCTCTGCAGAAGTGAATAGCCTCCTAGCCTCTAGTTCATGTACGCAGCAGCCCTAAACTCCCCTTCCTCTCCTCTCTTCCTCAAGCAACTTCAGGCCCTGCAGAGTTCGGCCTGCCCTCCTCTAAGGTAGGTGACACGAGCTCCACGCAAAACAGTGGAGGAAGGTGGTCAGGGAGTCCTCACGTGTAATAGGATCACCTAAATGCCAGAACAGTGACAACATTTAATAAATAATTTTGCAAATTTCGATAATCACATTTTAAAGACTTAAGCAAAAGAACAACCTCAGTAACAACAACAGAACCCTGTGTCACCTGTTATCTTACCGTATTTAAATATATTTTCCTGGTCATCTTCCCAAACATGTTGTTTTCCTTTACGTTCCATTTCTTCTTCTACAGTTCTTACATCTTCAACCCCTGTTTTTTCTTCGTCGGCTGAAAAAAAGACTGAAGAGGTTTTGCTCCCCTCCATCTCATTCCTTCTTGGGACCATGTATGCTCTATCCTTCCTCAGTTTCCCCTCGCCCTTTGGTTCCTCTCTTTTCTCAAGACTTTTTTGTTTCCTAGGTTTTGGCGAAGTTGGTTTTTTGTCAAGGCCCATTGCAATTATGCACCTATGAAAAATATTAACATAGGATGCTTATTAACTTTTATACATAGCAGAGTGGAACTGCAAAGCTTTTAAATCACGTACCTCTTATTCTTATAAGAAATGTTATAAGAAATTTTTTATCAAGGTACATACCAGTAGTTAACTAAAGTAAATTCTTTTCTTTTTATTAATATTAAAATCTCATAAAAA